ATCGGGTCACTGTAGTAGAGCTTACAGCAGCTCCAATCGTAGACAAAAATATATTTGGTTCGCTGTCTACGACATGCATTAATAAAACTCTGTATTCTGTTACGCCCGTTGTATACTGTTTATGTGCATCCAAATAAGTTGGGTCCGTCTTCTCTCGCGTTCCTGTGCACGTCGCTTCAAAATTAGAACGAAACATGCCAGCAGCAGAAATAGAACCTCGCGCGTGTCATCCATTTTTCGTTCGTAAATAGCGGCTTACCAAAGGTCACCGACTAATGGCACCCCTTAGCCCGTGCTAACGACTGGCCCTCCCTGTGCGTGGATGCAATTGGGTCTAGCCGAAATGCAAATATGCTAGATAAGCCTAAATCAGCTTAAATCTTAGCCCGTACTTCGTGTAACGTGAACACAACTAGTGCAGTTATATAACAAATAAAGCACTGTTTAGATGCAATGTTTAAATCAATTATCCATCAAACTTGTAAGCCTAGTAGTAAATATTTCCTGTCACCATTTCTATCTTCATTTTTTTTATGTAAGTATGGACAAAATAACCTACTGCAATTTGTCTGGTAGATTAAAAATAGACAGTTTATACTGACCTTGCCATCAGCCGTTACTGCAGCAAATACAGTTGACGAATAGGGTGCCCAAGCTACGTCACCAACAGAACTACCCAAGTCAAATGTGAACATTGGTCCTTTCCTATAAAATAAAAGTAATACATCAATGAACACATACATAACATACATAACTAGCCACACATAAAAAATATAGACAGGATATTACAGTATAATAACTACTGAACACAATATGAAAAACAATTACAATTCTGCTCCACTGTCAAACTAGTCATAAACTTTTTTAACTGTAGAACATTGACATCATTCAAGCAGAAATTTTTCTTTAAATTTGCCATATAACCTGTAACAGGACAAACAGCAGAGATTGCAATAAATGCAAAGTTATTACACTATTCACTTACGTGTACATGCTATCCCAGATTTTAACACTCCAGTCCGCGCTGCACGAAATAAATATCTTAGGGTGGAAGTTATTCCATTGCACTTTATAAACAGCCATGTGATGTGCATCATAGGTGTCTAAGAATTGACTAGAATAAGCCTTGGAACATTTATGGATCTTTCCTTCTTCCGTACCAACTAAGAATAAATAGTCTGTCTGTTTGTGGAAATCAAAACATGTTCCACAGCCTAAAAAAAAAAAAACTTATTAATACAGTTGTCTTACATTAGCTTTCAATGCAAATATATGATATATTATTGTTATTAAGCCCATCCGAGTCGTACATTATGTCTGTGTACATCACTTCCTGCAGTTACTGGTCACGGTAATATCTGCTATCATAGTCGAAAATGTCTGAGGTAAAAATTTTGGTTAAATTTACATTCTTTTTTGGGGGATGTCAAGATGCTTGAGTGGATAGATCACCAATTTCTGGGATGTATGTACCAGATGTACTACCCACATACACAATTAAAAACAATGTCACCAATAGAATACAAATGCATAAGGCAAGTATTTCTTTGCATGTTTAAGACATGATAATTTTGTGGCAGTATAAAACCCTGTGAAATGTACAATGAAAGTTATGGAGACGACTGTATTGTTGTTGATACTAGCCAGAAATAGGCAGATTCTACAGATTCAATAATCCAGACTTTTTTTACATAGAATATATCTTTGTTTGTATTCAAAAGTGCACATGAAATGTATATACTTTACCTAATGTAACAATTTGTGTGCCATCTGGACCTTCATCAGGAGTGCCATCCAATTTTAATGTAATAATATCAGTGTAGATTAATTCATTCTGTAAAACAATAACAGTATTAATTAGAATTTTTAATTTACAAGCACCAAGTTGCAGATCAAAGTAAATAAGATTGTAAAGAACTCTTCAGCAGGAATCTAATATATCGTAATCTACATTTCATTTTGACAGCTCATTTGCATAAATCAATGAAAATGGAAAATAATAATACATACCTTGACTAAAGTCCAGGATACCACTCTGCCATCAGAAGAAACAGAGAAGAAATTAAGGTTGTTATCTAAATCATCTTTTTGCCATGCCACCTGTAGAATAAACAATACGATTTTTGAGATACATGTAGAGGTTTCTTTGGTACCAACTTTAACATTATTTTGAAAGTTAATAAATATAGAAGGGTCATGTTGACTAGTAAGCTAGAGATACACCCTTGATATAGCATAGCATTACCTAGCTAGATCGTCACATGTAAAGGATATACTATGTATCAACTAACCTGCCACACTGGGTCTGTATGTTTACCGGTCTTTGCTGTGCTCCTGTAAAGTGGTTTAATATTTTTTTCCACCACATTGAAGACACCCACAGAGCCATCATAGAAACCAACAGCAGCAAGATACGGGTGTTCTGGGTGCATGTCTAAACACATTATACCACTGTCCACTGGGAAAATATACTCTGGAAATGATGGGTTTTTCATAGTGTAGAAACATAGCATACCCTGAGTTTGCTTCATAAAGTCATCTACAAGTGAAAGAAAATGTAAAGAATCAAACCAGATATGTCAGAAAACTGATGAAATCAACCTGGATTGAACATTGAATGAAAAAGCAAGTGGATATGCTTATACCAATTGTTGTGTCATAATGTCAATGTCAATCAAAGTCAAGCTGGTGAATATTTATACAAAATATTTGAAATCATAAAATAGCAGTGACTGACATATATTAGTATTATATGTATTGTATATTATTACTAAGATTTGATTGCCGTCAACCATTGGGATCTATTTGTACCAAAGCATTCCCGGGGAATTACATTGGATTCACAAACATACGCATATACAGACAAAGTCTGAACAACTATTTAAAGAGAGTAGCTACTGATTAGTTGAACTGGATGAGTGTCAGTATACTTACATGATCCATGTCCTACTGCAAACAGATCTTTGTATCTAGGGTTCCAACACAGTGCCGTGATAGCCAACCTTTTAGCTTTCTCATAAGAAAATTTCCAGAGAGGCAGCAATGTACCCTCCTGCTCTCTAAAGTCATCTGAGACATCTTCCCAGTATTTGAAATCTGCAGCAAGAATAAGAATGTCAATGATGAATGATAAGAAAGTAATGAACTTCATGTTTTACAAATGTGTTGTTTACACTACTAATCACGAAGTATAAGTACATTGGAGCAGTAGTATCTTACCCTGAGCAATGTCATCATACGTATTCTGATTAACCATTCTTTCCATTATTTTAGCAGCTCTAGAAATTCTTGAGATGTCGTCTCCCTGAGTTTCAACTGCTGTTAACTTTTTCTTGGATTTTTCCTCATCTTTCTTCAGCATAGCTTGTTTCTTTTCCTTAGATTTCTCCTGTAACAGTAGTACAATGAATTCAGTCAGCATAGGCATTAAAAAAAAAACAGCATGTATTTGCTGGATGTGCAACTATTGCAAAAGGAAACAGACTGCAAGAGGGCAATGTGAAGAAACTATATAATGTGGAGGACACAAGATAAGCATAAAGTGATACATGTAAAAAAAAAAAAAAAAAAAGGTGGAGAAAAACACAAATAAAAATGTGACATTTAATAGAAAAAATTGTCACCAAATTATCTGAACATGGAATTGCAGCTCCCAAAGCCTACTATATAATATAGTGCCTTCTTATTTAAAAATTAGTATTGCTATTTCATACAGCATTGCTCTGAGCAGCCATGTGCTACATGTAAATGCATGGCAAAATGCAAATTTTCATTTTCAGAACAACCCTAGACAGCCCAGCCTGAAACCAGGATTATTTACCAAACATACCCAAAAGGTTAGAAGGTGTGCTGGTTTGAGTAATATGAATTGTACCGAAGTATGAATAATTACATTAGCCCAGACTGAATTAGTACAATTTTCTACAAAATATTTCAAAAAAAAAAATTGCCACAGCCACCACCGGGAAGCTATATCACTGTGATTATTGTCACACACCCTGCTTTTAATAACCAGGCAATTAGACCTACATGGTAAACTTACACATATTTAACATATAAATTAAGAAAGTGAAATGTACCCGGTAATCACATTTTCCCAAATATTAGAATTGTTAATAATAGCAGTAGTAGTAAATAACGACATTATGATAAACATTAAACATCTGTGAACATCAAAATTCGTGGTGAGGTGCAATATATAGTGCATACAAGCTGTTAAGAAAAAGCTGTATTTTTATAACATTGTTAGTGAAATTATAAAAGTGATTTTAAAATAATGTGAATGCAGTTATTATGAATGTGGATGCAGCACACATTAAGGTAAATAGATAATAATCCAACCTCAGCCTGTATTCAGGAGTAATCCATAGAGCAACGCCGACATACAGTGCATGCAAATTTGAGGAAAAAAAAGAGAATAAAACAGGAAAATCACAGTAATCAGTGACTATTTTTTATATAAAAGTTTGGTATGAAAACAGGCAGTTACTAAAATCTAAGACTGTATTCTTCAAACATCAGTAAATGGGGAACAGATGTGCATGACACTTTTATGATATCCTGCAAAACAGTTCACCCACATCACCTATCACCAACTACTTAAAAGGGCAGACTTTATTTACAATATTTGCTGTATTTATTTCAATGGCCAGAGAAACAAGGCATGCTATACTGTCACACACATTTTTTTATACTACTATAGAGTGTGGAGAAATCGCCATGCGACTGCCTATGAAGCAAATACCTTATTCAATTTTGTTTTTGGATGTGAGTAGAAAGAACAGTTTCTGTGGAGAAACTTTTGTGAAATAACTACTATATAATAATTTCAAACAGGAATAGAAAGCGGAAAGGTTACTGAAGAGTTTGCAACAAACCACAAAGATATTATGGCAACTTGTACATACTCTAAAGCAAGAAAACAAGCTATATAAATTAAAAGGCATATGAATGTTGAAAACTATAAAAGCATAATGAAAATAAAATTTATTAATGAATAAATGAACAACAGCAACCTTCAACGCTTCCTTGACCAGTGAAAATAGTCACACACCGAAAGAGGAGGGGAAAGAAAATAACAAGAAAAGTATATTAAGTACCATGATACAATTAACACCAATGAGGTACACACACTAAAGTTGATGAGCATCGTATCAAATTAGATAATAATTTGGTGAAAGCTACAAAAAGAGAGTAGCATGACAGATGAATGGAAAAAAGCTAAAAAATATTGTAGATACAATTGGGTGTTTATAAATAGACATTTATAAAAGATATTGTCTAACTGAATTCAAGTTGTTTTAGTTGTGATTGAAGAAGATTTCAGACAGTTGATGAAATCTGAAAACATAATGGATAGCTACAATGAGAAAATGTATAAAACTTTTTCTATAGATAAAACATAAATTGTATTTTATAATCATGTGAAAATTTAATTTTGAACAGGAATAAACAACTTCCACTTTTGGAACAAGTTATTGGATTTCAACAAACACCGCTAATTAAAAAGATGAAATATCACTTAAATGAGAAGATGAAACAATATCCTGTACAACTCCTACCTGTCTTTCAAGGTCCTCGCAATAAGCATCGTAGATTTCCCACTGTGTGGCATTGGATGAAAAAGTGGCTCTTGGTGGTGGTTCTGTGGCTGTACCACGTTCCTGAAATAATTGGAAATAATTCATGTATTTTTGGTTTTTTTTTCATGAGGATACACCTGCAGAGTTTAGCCTTCCTTTAGACATGATATGGTTAATGAATAAACAATGTTCTTGTATGTGTGAAGACACTAAATGTTGAGACTCACCCTATAAGGATTATTATAAGTCTGTGATGCTCTTTCACTGTAATTGAACTGGTTTGTCAATTTCTGAGTTCCCTTTGCTGGTGCTGGTGTTGTAGTATCATCTTCACGTTTCTCCCCTTCCTCCTAGATTTGCAGACAAGCAAAATGCAGAAAGATATTTAACTCAAAATGCCTTACAGATTCGGTAGTTGTCAAGTGAACTACTAGTACCATAGAAGCGAGTGCTACTCTGGAGTGCAAGGCACTGAACCTAAAAAATGTGCATACGAGTGTGGACATCAAAACTCACATATAGCAGCTACACTTTGGAATGACATGTACATGTATGCCAGACAGGAAACAGATACATTAAACTGAAGCAAGGGAAGTGCACTGATATGTTAGTAAGCAAGCACAGTATAAGAGTTAGGTACCGGTAATAACAGTGGTTTAAATTTCACATATCCAATGATATTGTGTTCACGTAAACCTTGTGTCATGGGTGGAGGCAGTGCAGTAAAACAATCACACAATTGCATATAGTGTGTGTGGCGTTCGGGAATTCATGTATCTGGGGTTTGATACATGTTAGTGTTACTATTCCCAACACACCTATCTATAGTGCATGTAGAATCAATTTCACTCTCACCTCTGGAGTTGGAACTGGGGACTTTATAATCTATAGTTGTGAAATAGAAAATGTAGCAAAACAAGCAGAAATATAGAAATATGTAAGATATTTAAATATACACTGATGTTAACTAAAACGCTGAAGTACTAGTTCATATTAATAAGCTGACAAATTAAGTGTCAGGCTTTCAGACCATAAAACAGAATGATTACATATTAGATTAGGCAGAATTAGTTGGCAGCAATATTGTAAGAAGTAATGGTAGACACACACAATGGAGTATAAAAACTGAGGACAGACATGCACAATGTAGTACAGAGACTAAGGACAGAGTTGCACAATGAAAAGATGTATATTCATAAAAAACACTGAACTTCCTTGACAAGGACTGTTACTGATTTGACAGAATATAATGAGAGGAATCAAACCACTTGTGTCAGAATTTTGGCAATCCAAAAAAAAAACTTCATGCTGACAACTGAAATCTAAAAGGTACAATTTGAAATTCATACAAGGTATTGGAGGGGGTAAAAGTAGGTCACACATCACTGTGTGCAGAGTGTACTTTGCATTGCCAGTAAGTTCAAGAAATTATGTGTATTAATGCAAAAATATAAACTAAACAAATCAAATAAAACTTAACGTCCAATAGATGAATTTAGAGTTCTTGTGTTGCTATCCACAATATGATGGTTTTTATATTTGAAGTTTCTAATTCACAACAGAACTTTCAACCTGGATTAAAGCGCCATAGTCTTTGTGCAGTGCGTGTTCAAATTTTCAAACAATGTATTTTTACACACATTACATTGTATGTATATCATATGGAAAATCATAACAATCACATCACGCTACAACAATGGTGGATGTGCTTCAAGCAACTCAAGATTCTGTAATGCATCTATTCCACATATGTCTCCTGCTGAAGTCTTATTGGCAATACAATCTACTCAAGCCACAGGAAAAAAAAAAGATTGTCATATTTTGAATATTTCATGCTGAAATAATTCAGCAGATACCAGATCCATGGACCCACCTCCTCTTCCTCCTCAAAGACCGATTCAAATTCATCTATTTCATCCTCTGCCCCCTTCATTTATGCAGAATGATGGGGGAGGTGAGTGAGCATTGAAATATTGAATAGAATGAATTACATTGATGTGTATGTGAATGTGTGACACAAATCAACAAGTACAACTGAATATTTATGTATAGTCACAAAATGGTTAATCAAACATGCTGAAATTATCTCTTTGACAACTTTATCTAAATCTTTTACGTAAAATAAGTGAATTCAAACTTCATTAATACATATGCAAATGAAAATATCAAACAACTGAGTCAAGTGAAAAATACACAAAATCCAATTACCCTTAATCTTGGACAATTTCTAAATTTCAGTGAAGTTATTTATAAGTAACAATAAATATACACAATTTTATAAGAAGCCAGAGAGATAAAATACAAGAAACAACATCAGAACAAAAATGATATATTCACAAATAAATATTATTTATTAAATACATTAGTACTTAACTACATTGTATATGTTACAGAAAGTGGACTTAAGTGTGTTTACCTCATATTTTCCCTCTTCATCGTCTTCCTTCTTTTCTTCACCCATTTCACTGATAGTGTGTTCACTTACAGCTAATAATATACCAGAACACACAATGCATAGTCAGTAATTGTATTTAAAAAAACTAAGGATAATACAGGATTTCAGTGCATAACTAACCAACCGACTGCTACAAAAAATCAGACTTCTTATCTAGTGTTTTAATTTCATGAGAAGGGACAGAAGTATATCAATTACTGACAATACATGCATAATACAATGCAAAGAAATTGTCTACTGGAAACGATGTCTTACAGAAAAAATGGTCTCTGACACACAAGAAAATACGCCCTCTAGTGGTGGGTTTCACAGGACTTACTACTATTATTTATGGGCACAATAGGAACAAATATTCTGAATGCATAAATAACTAAAGCATGTTATCTCTTGTTTCAAACATGCTACTTTCATAATGTGGTCTATCTGGATGGTAATAAAGTGCTACATGTACATGCAATGAACAAACTAGCACTGTCAATGCAAGTCAGTGTATAATTATTTGTATAAAACGGGTTCATTCATATTGAAACCATGCTTGTATGACTGTCACTCAAACTAGAAAATCAGATATCAAGTTGGGACCATGCATTCTCTGATAGACAGCAGTGTATATACAAATAAGTTGTGTCATAAACCATGCAGGCTGTATGTTTTGAAATAACACCTACCACTTCGTGATCGGAAATAAAGGTCTTCATCGTTGTTTGTGACAATTATTATTAATCAAGATAGAAAAATATAACTTAGTTGGATTTATAATTATGCTTGTCTTAAATTAACATGATTAATAACATCAAAAGTCAGTTTCTTACTTTAGAACTTGTTAATTCAGTGGCGCTACAGAAGTGAAGTAAACTGATATTGTGAGTACTAGTAGTATGTTAGTATCATTCATGTTCACCTCGAACAACTTTTATCGATAACATATTAATTTTGCTATTGGCCTCACTAATGATACTGCTGTTCTTAGTGTGAGTACAGATTCTAATTTCCAAATTTGGCTACAAACAGAATAAAGTTTCAGCAATTCTATTTCTTCCAAAGTCCCCTTCAAATTCCATATTCTTAAATTCCTCAAATCTATATGTTGACTATAGCATGACAATCCTACTAGCCATATTAGCATTAGCATAAAATGAAATTATACAAGGTACTATAAATTGGATAACAAATATAAGTCATTGGTAATATATTATCAGTGTTTTATAAATAACTGTGGGAATTAATTAATGGAGTGGGATTATAGTCAGTCAGAGGTAGGCTTGGTGATAATAGAAGTATAAATAGAACCCACCTTCACCTAGGCCTAATTTCTGCAGTTGTCTCCTGGCTTCATCAGAGTCTTTATGTAACATATTCCCATCTAAGGCAAAATGAATAGCTAACTGATCTACACTGGAGGTCTGCTTGTAACTTCTTTCCTGTACAATTAGAATGATGTAATGTAGCATATCACCAAACAAAACAAGTTTGGCTGTTATCATCATTTAATGCATAAATTATAAAAGTTCTAGCACTGCAGTACAATCAAGTAAAACAAACTAAAGATTTCCTTACCTTGAAACTGAACCTGACAATATTTTGAGGGGCATGTGGATTGTTTGCTGTTAAGATTCTTGTGAATTCTTCTTTCAGCTCTTGCTCAGATAATTCCAGTTGATCATCTGGCTTGACCAACGTCTTTGGCTGATGTGAACAAGAACAACATTCTCAATGAAAAAGATAAAACCTATATATTGGCCACTCTATGATAATGAAGAGGGGGGTTCCACTCATGCATTGAAAAAAAGGACAACAAACAAAGAATATTCATTGTGTATGAAAACAGATCATAAAGTGAAATCCAAGGAGGGGCACTTCACCACCATACCACAAAGAGCTCAATATTCTGCACAATGGTACTCACAAGACATTGATATTCCATTAGAAGACAAAAAAGAAAAATGTGATATATTATCATATTAGGCAAGTTTGAATTTCACTAATTCAAGAACGATTCTAATGCTGATTTTGTCAACTACTATGCATAGAGGACAAAATGACACAATCATAATCTGAATTATCCGTCATGGTATTCCTAATAGTAACCGGGGAACCACATCACTTTTACAACAATCACAATCATGACTATAAAGGTATTCACTTTTCCATGGAGTTCCACACGCATTATTTAAACCCCAAGCTGTTCCTCTCAAAACACTGACAAACAAACTGTTGGCAGAAAATGTTCTTTCAATACTTCACCTCAGATGAAATATCAAGAGTCTCGTCATTATTCATCATTTAGCAAGTCAAAAAGAATATGAAATGAACAGAAAACAGTATACAGACCAGATCACATCGTCAACACTAGCAACAGTAATCTAAATGAGAAAAGATTTGCTGTAAAAATGTGAAATAACAATAGTGAGCAGAGAACCACAACACTTTTACAATACTATCCTTACCTGCATCCAATCATCCTGCCCATCACCAGTTTCTGTCATATCATCATCATCCTAAATAGAAGAAATATATTAGTCAATCATGATAGCAATCTTGTGTGCTAGAAAGATTTTGTAGCTCTTAGGAAGAACCCTAACAGAATGTTACATCACATTATGTTTACCCACTTTCATTTGAAATGCAAAAAA